CAATAAATATATAAACAATCATCACATAAAACCATTATATAATAATTATTAAAAACATTAAAAACTATAAAAACAGAACTAAAACAGGAAAAGAAAATAATAGGCGACAGGATGTTAATAACAGAGCCACATTATACTGGCATTGTCCACAGCTACTACATCTAAGATGCTGATTTCTTTCTTTTGCATAACTGCCCATAATATATAGAGGATTTGGATCTAAAGTTCTCAAGTGCTTGAGGTTTTATATGCCTTTTCCCCAAATATGTGCAATTTTCTACCAAATGTTTGAGCCAAGAATGATGGATTCTGTGCACCAGAGCTTCTATGCATTACTACTTCCTGGGCCCTAACAGAGATATGGTTGGTCTGTGTCTTGGCAGGCCATTTAGTTTGTTCAAAAGAAAACAGCGGCAGATTTCTTCTACCACCTTATTTTGAATCTCTACAGCATTTAGAAAGTTTTAGATGCTTGAGGAATGAACAGCAACCCTAGATAACAAGCGCAGATTACAAACATTTCAGGGAAGATTATGAGAGCAAGGAGGACGTTATTGTTCCAGGTGTGGGGCACAGAAAGTGATTTATAACGCAAACAACAGGGAAAAAATAGTAGAAAGTTTAGGAGTGATGCGGTTATTGTAGAGCAAGGGAGAGGCCCGTTTGGGGTAGGTGGTCAGACTGGTAATTTTGAGAGCCTCTCCTGAGCACATTCACAAAATGGCTGCCAATTATAAAGCACCCATTTTTTCAAACTGGTAGGCACTGGCACTCAGCTTAATAGCATGGTAGCTTCTCAAATAAGTAAGTAAATAAATAAATAAAAGCATCCATATAGGGGCGGGGAAAGTATTTGCAGAAGCCAGTGACTCTCTTTGAGATGTTCTCTGCCTTACGGGATTCGACGAAGTGTGGCTGGGGGCGGGGCTGGAATACATGGACAGTTTCCGCCCTCCCCAGCGCCCTCTGCGCGTGGCTTGCGTTCAACATCCTCACTTCCTTCCAGCTCAGATGCTGGCTGTGAGCTGGGGAGGGTCTGAAGAGGCCTGAGGTAACTGAAGGAAAGTAGTAGTTGTGGAGCTGGGACCACTTCTGCTGTCTTCCTCATAAAGATGAACACAGGTTTTGGAGATACCCTTTGGGGTTGATCTGGGAAGAGAATCTTCTCTATAGATTTATTGATTTCCTGTGGGCCCTCCTGCCTGGCTAATTTGTAGTAACATGGGACAAAACGTTACCATGGCCTCAGAAAGAAAGGAAACAACCAAATGAAGGGTAAAAGCCACTGTCTCCCGTAACAGACTGAAATGAGATTAAGAAGAAAGTGTTGATCATCAGTCTTAATACGGAGATATAACAACAACAACAACAACAACTGTGCAACCGACCATAATAAATAATAATGATTATCTTGGGCAAGGTGTTTCAAAGAGTGGCTCCACCAACACAGAAGGCCATTGGCTTTTCAGTGGCTGAAAACCATAGATAGATAGATAGATAGATAGATAGATAGATAGATAGATAGATAGATAGATAGATAGATAGATAGATAGATTCAACACTTAGGAATTTTGCTACATTTTGAATGATGTCCTGAAACCTTGGACTAAAAAATATCTTCCTTCTGTTACACATAATGTGCGTAAAAACATGATTTACTCCTTGCGGCCTATACACGGAATTCCCTCTGAGGGAAGCCTGTTTGCCTGAAATCCATATGCCTGGTGAACCTAAAGTCTAGCACTCGGTCTCCTAAGCTCCTCTGCAATTTGAGTTTTCTCGCTTGCCTGCTTATTAATTGATTGATTCAGACTGGTCTGTTTCCTGGCTATGCAATTTTGAGTCCGACAAAATGCCAATTTGTTCCTTTGTTTGTGGATTCAGACAGGTCTGTTTCCTGGCAATGCAGTTTTGAGTCTGCCAGAATTCCAATTGAGGAAGTATACACTGTACATTGCCCTAGAAACTTGGCCTGAAATCCAATCCACATCTAGTTGTTTGGGAAAGAAGCTGACCAAGTCGCCTTCTGTCTGTGTTTCTTGTTTCAGGACGATCTTTCTGAGGACAGCCTTAAGCATGGCCACAGCTGGGAAAGGCAGCAACTCCAGCAACAATCTCTATACTAACCGTCTCATCCGTGAGAAATCTCCTTACCTCCTTCAGCATGCCCATAACCCTGTTGACTGGTAAGGAAACTTTTTGCCTTTCTCTTAGTAGGTGCAGGCATGAAGTGAAATAAATGGGCTTTATCATTTGGGGATTTCATAGATGCTCTTCTTAAGAATCTACATTTTCCTTTAATATTTCCAGCTGCCTCCAGGTCTCCCATTCTCATAAAAACATTTTTCCTCCTGTAGCTCAGTCTTCTTCTCTACATGGCACTCTCTCAGTTTTCAAATCCAGATCCTAAGCTTAATTCTTTCTTTGTTTCTGAATTCCTCTCTTTGTTGCTTGTTTCTGAGTTCTTCCTTTATCTCATCTGTAAAGGAGATGAATCTAAGGTTTATATAACAATATCTGTTTGTACTTCTCTCTTGTTATCTTTGCTTCTTTCTTTTATTCCTTTTACTTCTATTCCTCTCTATCATAGAAATTTGGATTTCCTCCTCCTCCTCCCCCCCCTCTACTTTTATTTTATTCTGTTCCTCATATTAAGACGTTATATGAGACTGCCTGAGCCCTACTGTTTACCACTGAGACCCATCATTGCTGAAGATTGGACAGATGGCCATTAGGGACAGTGACTGAGATCTTCCTTGGATAACTAGGGAGGACGTGGCCCTGGGTATGCTGTCAGCACCATCTTAACTCAAATGCATTTCCCAGGATTGTGTAGCTACTGTGTGAGCCCAGGAAGGGCTGCAGCTCCTTTGTGGAGGGGCTAACGCACTTCTTCAGTACTTTTTCAGCTCTGAATCTGAAATGTGACAGAATCTGGTAGAGAATGAAAAGAATCTTAAAGCATTTTATTTCCACAGTTGTTTTAGCAATAGAATTGTTTTTCTTCCATTTTAATTGTCTTTTATGTTGTTTTATCCTTTGTGTCTGCTGTTTGGGCTACAGTTAAGTTTTTAAAAAGTGTATGTTGTGACTATTTTGTGAATATTTTATTGAAGAAAAATGGACTGTAAATGACCAGGTTGCTCTATGCCTTGAGGTGAAGTCTAAAATTTTTGACCAGACTGAAAAGCTGAGACATGTTTGTGTTTGATTTCAGATGGCTTTTGTTCTGTAAAACCTAAATATCATATATACTAACATGTGTCATTTGTTAACGTTTGAATTAGGATGTTGAATTTTTTGACAAGAAGGGCAATTCTCCTTTAATTTTATCTGCACAACAGCCACCTTGTAAGGTAGGTTAGGTGGAGAGAGTGACTGGCTTGAAGTCATTCTCTGAATTTCCATGAGGATGGATCTGAATATGGATCTCTCCAATCCTAGTTCAACACCTGAATAATCAGAACACACTGATTGTTGTTCACTACACAGCAAGCTACTTTTAATTAATATTATTTCATGGATATTTAAAATCAACAGCAGCAATGAGCTCGAATTCTAATTAAGTAGACAATATACACCTAACCTGTGCTAAATTGCTCAGCGCCCTCCCTGCAGGCTGGAGACCAGCCAGGAGAGTTGCTTTGGCATAGTACCAAGTCTTATCAAATGTGTTATTTCCTGTGCAAATAGTTCTCTATCACACTGGGAACTCAACAGTGGAGGAAGGCTTTGAGGTAGCACTTTTTAGAATTCGCTTGGTTTCTTCTGCTTGATGGGGAATGTTGGACTGCAAAGCAACAGGGTAGAACTCTTCTGTGGACACTGCCTTACCTCACCATGCTTTTCATGCCTTTAGAAAAGGCAGTAGCTGCTTACCTACATTTAACATAGGAATATTACAAAGGAAACACTATAAAAAATATCTAGCCTCTTTCTTTCCTCAATTTTCCTCAGGTATCCATGGGGCCAGGAAGCCTTTGATAAGGCAAAGAGAGAGAACAAGTTAATATTTCTGTCAGGTAAAAAAAGAATGGCTTTATTTTACACCAGCCATGTGTGCATGTGTATGTGTGAGCTTATCGGTAAAAACAATACTATATCTTTGTGAGCAGTTTGAAATCTAAGAGGATAAACATGTGGACAAAGAAATAAATGTTGTTCAAAGCAGATTTTCAACTGCTCACTATTTTTTTTCAATCTTATTTTTTTCTGGGGAAAAATGGGGAGTACATTTATCTTTTCTTCTAAAACTTTATTTCTTGATATGCAGTTTGCATCTGTAAAGAGCAGGAGCTTATATTGAAAAGATCATCAATAGATTTGCTAATGGATAAGGCTATTTCATTTGAAGCCAATCGGTTGGTTGTGTAAAACATCTGAGGGTTAGTGTATGGATAAAGATACATGTTGGAAGAATTGGGCTGTCTTGGATTTCTCTCTCTTTTTTTTAATAACAGTTTTGTTTGAGTTTATTTATTTCATTAAATTTGTTATGGCTGCCCACAATAGACTCTGGGTGATGTACAAAAACCATATACCCAGTTAAAACAGCTAAAAACATAAACCACATAGAATATGACAGTCCAGACTAAAAACAATATAACAATAAAAACACGACAGGGCCCCCACAAGTACATTAACCCTAGGCTTGGGAGCAAGGTCTTTCTGGAACTCCAGGAGAGTGGGCACTATCTGTATCTCTGGGGGGATGCTGTCTGGAGGGTGGGGACAGTGACAGAGAAGATAAGCTTCCTCGATCCCACAAGATTACAATCTTTAATTGAGGGGACCTGGAGCATACAAGTAAACATGCAGTGGAATGAAACCTAAAAAGGTTTATCATTTCCAAGCTACTGTTACGGCTTTTCCTGCTTCAGCAATTTTTATAATCTGATTTCAGTACTTCACTATAGAAGCTTTTTATTAAACATCCAAATCACCTTTCTTATATTTATCCAGCAGCCTTTTACTATTATACTAGTTCTTTATTCTCAGAAATAATATTCTCCTTTTTTGAAAACCTATCTAGGGTTAGAATCCCTAATGTTGCTTATGGTCAGCAATTCTTGTTTGACCTGCTGTTCCTGTTCTTGTTTTGTTCAGCCCCTTAAATTATGTCTGCTGAAGGAGACTGTGGGTGTATCTCTTCTCAGAATCCCACCCTGTCCCCTTCTCTTGGATTAAAAATCAGCACTTTTGAAACGATGGTTAATCACTTTTTTCATAAGTAATCTTTCTTTAATTGATAACTTTTATTTTCAGTTGGCTATTCAACTTGCCACTGGTGCCATGTTATGGAGCAAGAATCCTTCCAGAATGAGGAAATTGGTCGGATTTTGAATGAGAATTTTGTGTGCATCAAGGTGGATCGTGAGGAGCGTCCAGATGTGGATAAAGTTTACATGACCTTTGTGCAGGTGGGGAGTTGGAACTTAGAGAAGACTTTGTTATTTCTAGAACAGATTAATGAAGGGAATCTAATCCATCTGATTCTTTTTTCTGTAGGCAACCAGCAGTGGAGGTGGTTGGCCAATGAGTGTATGGTTGACTCCTGATCTCAAACCATTTGTAGGTGGAACTTATTTCCCTCCTGAGGATGGAATTTATCAGGTTGGCTTTCGGACTGTTCTGCTTCGCGTCTTAGAGCAGGTATGGGATTCAGTATCCACAACTGCAATAAGCTGAATGTGTCATTGGAATAATGCATGAGAGATTAAGCTACATAATTGTTAGTGCCGAGTTTGAGTTTTTACTTAAAGGGTTTATAAGGGAAAATATAACCAATGAGAAGTTTTAGCTTAAGCCCAGGGACAACAGGATTTAAGGAAAGAGAAATTGAGATATAGAGAGAACCTTCTAATGGAATATATTCCACGGATAGAAATCAGTGTTGGTTAAAAAAACCCCATATTTTACATCATGTTGCATATCTCTGAAGGCAGGTAATAAATTAAAAAAAATGTCAGCAAACATTTTTGTGAATTAAAAATCCATGTAGTGAATTTTTTCCTATGTGGTCATGATGAGGGGTAGCTACAGCATCTTAGAGCACCTCATCGACTGGGTTCATACATTGTGCTAAGCCATAATTGGTTTAATCTTATGTTCATTGAAAGAACTATTATACAGTAGGTTAAGTTCACACAATACTCTAACCCATAAGTCATGGCATACAGTAGTGGCTCAGTTTACATAATACCAAACATTTCTATGTGAAAACTCAGACAGAGGGGGATTGCCCCTAATGGATTGCTATCTCATTTCTAAACTGATAATGTGAGAAGGAGCAGCTATGATGTCAAACCATTTTCTGGAGCAACCTGAAAAGATATGTAACTAGATAAGGCATGTATAAATAGCAGCAAACTATGACTTAGGTATCTTCTCCCCACTCCTCAGTGGAAACGGAACAAAAGTACCCTTTTGGAAAACAGCCAGAAAATCTTGTCTGCACTGTTAGCTAGAACTGATGTTGGCGCTCGAGGGGAGGAAGCACCCCCATCCTTAAAAGAGGTGACAACCCGATGTTTCCAACAACTATCAGAGACTTATGATGAAGAATATGGTGGATTCTCAGAATCTCCCAAATTCCCTACCCCAGGTTAGTTCAAGACTGTCTAGCTATTTCTGTAGGAGGAGCTAGTATTACATAAGCAATCGACTAAAATTCATTACTTTACTATTTTCTTTCATTCCAGTCAACTTGAATTTTCTGTTCTCCTATTGGGCTCTTCATCGGTCAACCACTGAAGGAGCACGAGCACTTCAGATGGCCCTGCATACGCTCAAGATGATGGCCTATGGTGGTATTCATGATCATATTGCTCAGGTAAGACAGTAATTTGAAACTTTTCATTAAGGGATTCAGAAATAATGTTTGTCAGGATGTGGTGGTCGATCTCTACTGTTTGTCTGCCAATCTGACACTTTCCAGTTTAAGTTAGTAGCTTCATAAATCTGCTTTCCACTTTGAGGAGGTAGATAAAAAGTATAATCAACAAATAAAAAATTGCCATTGGAATCTAATAACTGTTAAAAATTGTGGCATGCTTTTGAATTCAAAAAATACTATAAAAATACAGCATGCAACTTTCCATTGGATTGGCATAGGGGTGGCAAGTTTTTTGGCATATTGTTTCCATGTGATGGTGATGTGACTCTGGTAGAATCCTCAGTCTCACCTATAGTGCTTTCTCCTACTCATTTTTTCTTTGTCTTAGGGAGGACTGGCTTACAGGGAATGGATCCTCCCTTTCCAGTGCAATCATATCATACATAGCTTGCTAAACAGCTGGGTTGATAGCTAGTGGAGAAGTACATTGTAATTGGAAGGATATTGCAAATGAGGAGTTGTTCCTGCATCTCATGCTTTCCAAGAAAATTGTACTGCTTCCAGCCTGGGGAGGAACTGAGCAGATTCTTGGGGGTGTACTTGCTTGGGAATTATGCAGTGGCAGTGGATAAGTGGAGACTTTGGGCACCTGCATAAACTGCATTTTAGGCCTCCAAGGGCACAGTGTAGGCTAGAGGCCATGCACATATGGGCTAACTAGTCTTCCCTACCCTATTTTAATTTTAATTTTGATTGATTGTTGTGCTAATCAAGTTGATATTGACTCTTAGTGATCACATACATAAGCCTCCTCCAGGATTATCTCTCCCCAACCTGGCCCTTCAGGTCTTCCGGTGATGTATCCATCACTACTGTAATTGAGTCCATCCACCTTTCTGATGGTCGTCCCCTTCTTCTTTTTCCTTCCACCATTCCCAGAATTATAGATTACTCAAGAAAGCTGGGTCTTCACATAATATGTCCCAAATATGATAATTTGTGCCTGATCATTTGTGCCTTGAGTGAGAACTCTGGATTGATTTATTCTATGATCTGGATTATTTATTTTCTTCACTATCCAAGGTGTTCTCAAGAGTCATCTTCAACTCCAAAGTTCAAAAGCATCAATACCTTTTCTATCCTGCCTCTTCAATGGCTAACTTTGCTCCCATAGAGTATCATAGGGAAAAAAAATCTGAACAGTTCTGAGCTTTGTAGATATAGACAAGTCAAGGCATCCAAGTATCTTTTCCAAGGCCTTCGTTGCTACCCTATCAAGTGCTAGCCTGTGACATTTTTCTTGACTGCTGGTTCCTTTACTGTTGATAGTCAAACCCAAAAGGCAGAAGTTTTCTACCACTTCAGTATCTTCATGGTCAATTCTAAAGTTGGTTGCTGGGCCTATTGACATTAGTTTGGGCTTAATTGTTTTAATCTAACTCATTATATGGCAGACAAATTTGCTGTAAATACCCTAATCTTAGATCCTGATCCTGCTGACTCCCACCCTCCAGAAACTTAACTCCAAAGATGCTATAGCTGTAAGTAACCTAAATCAAATAAACAATGTCCAAGTGTGAGGACCTATAACAAAATGAAGTGAAGAAGGTTCTATTTAGGGCTGCAGCTTTGTTTTATTCCCCCTCCCAGACCTAGTCGCATTTTCAATTTATCTATATTAGTGAGTTAGCATTTTCCCCACAACAGTGAATGAGTTTTGTGTGTGCAGATCTCAGCCAGCCAGGGGTTCTAAAACTTTTCAGTTCTGTGATCCCCTAAAATGATAAATGAATTTGTGCACCCTTCCTCATAACAACTAAACAATACACTAAGAATAAATGAAGAATAGATAATAAATACAATTGCTGGGATTGTTGGGTGGTTTTGACCAATGGCCAGACCCACAGGCTTGAGCAAGCTCACTGTGGGTTTACCCCAGCAAAGCTGGAGTAAGCTTTGACAGAACTCCTGCTTTGCTTGCCATTAGGGTAGTGGGAACATTACCAAAAGTTGCTCCAGGGTTTGCTCCCTGCTTTGACAGTACTCCAGGATTTGCAAAACGATTGCAATCTCCTTTGAGCTGCTTGCAGTTCCCCTGAGAGACTCATCCCACACTTTGCGGACTCCTGTAGTAGATCATTTTAGTATGTGAATGAACTAATTGATGCTCCTCCTTGGTTATATTAAAATCTTGGGTTTCTTCATTGATTTCTGTGGCAACTTTCACTTCATCAGTAGAGACCTTTGAAAATAGCTTCTCAGTACAAATCAGGGAATAACCTGTTCAAATAATAGAATGTTTTAGCTGGTCTTTCAAAAAAATCTGTTTTCTTCTTCTATCCCTTTTTCCAGCCACTCCATTACATTCTCCTCAATCCAGGCTTTTAGCTGTTATGAGCAATGGCTTTTAGATAATTGATTTGGAAATAGAATATATGCTATGCTGAAGTGTCAGATTCTAGAAAGATAAGCAGAAAACGAAGAAGTTTGTTTCCTGGAACTTTTACTGCATGTGCCAGTCATTACATTGTGGTTTGCCAAATCTGACATTTGCTATGCTTTCGCTGTTCTGCTCCCAACCAGTGTATTAGCTAGTAGATATTTATGTTCTGTGAATGAGTTACATCATTGTAGATTGTGCTGTGACTGACCTGCATTGGTGGCTTCATATTGCCAGTAGACCACCCTCCACATTCACTTGGTGATCAGTGAACTAGTTGGCTTGACCAGTGAACTCTCAAAATTATTCATCTCCATGTTTTCTGCTCTGTATGTAGAAAATTGAATCATAGTTCTTACAAGGCACAAATGTTAAAAAGATTCTTCTCTACCCCCACCCACCACACCAATTCTCCTGCAGGGGTTCCATCGCTACTCCACTGACCAACGTTGGCATGTCCCTCACTTTGAAAAGATGCTGTATGATCAGGGTCAGCTGGCAGCAGTTTACGCGAAGGCATTTCAGGTATTCCTTAGCAAAATCTTTTGGCCACCATATCAGGGCCTGAAAGAACTGATGAATTAACCCTGTTTATTGGAGTCACAAAGCAAATTGTTTTGTAATGGTGCCCAGGAGAAAGAAAGTTGGGTGACTCTTGTATTTTTACTACCTTTGTTTCTTTCTTGCTGATTTAGATGAATGGTAAGGGAGAAGTTACAGTTTTACCCAGGAATAAGTCTTGTGATCCCTATTAGCCACACATGTATAGAGCAGTAAGACTGGGGAGTATAGGAAACATACTGTTCAAGATGACAAGGGTGAACAATCTGGGGGAAGTATATTTCCTTGTGTCTGGAACAGCAGTTGAGATTCAGATCAGTCTTTGATTGAACTAGAATATGTTATTGCTAATCAGTAGGGTGATTCCTTGGATCCTTTTTTAACATTACATTCTCCACTTATTGCTGAGTGAACATGGAGATAACAATGGAATGTGGGGCAAAAAGAGGAGGATGGGGCAAGAAGAAGCTATTGTAGACTGACATTTAATTTCTTTAGTTTAGCTCTTGCATCCAGGATTCATTTATACACATACGGGCAGAACAGAGGGGAAAGGTTTCTTCTTTCCTTTGTTCCTTTTATGACATCTGTGACAACTAAGGGGAATGCTGTACTGTTTATACAGCTTCCCCATGCCATTTTTTCTTACTACCATTATTTTTGGCAGTAATGTTGGCACCCCAAGAGCATAATGAAAACCCAAAGCAGCATTTAGACGTATCACTTTCTGCATTGTAGAGCAACCAGTATTTACATAGCATTGTTGAGAAGAGAAAAAAACAAGAAGCGGTTTACTAGGTGGACTTTCTTTGTGGCAGACATGTTCTGGGATTGAATAAATTTGCTTAGTACTCCAGCCAGAATTACTCCTCTATGAGATTTTGGGGTGGTAGTACCTTACTGTGCCTGACTCTTCCAATATTATTTTTCACATGAGATTTCCAAGGGTCATAAGTGTGTCCAGCCACCATCATGATGGACTTCGTAATCAAAGGCAAACAGTTGATAGGGGAGGATCTTCTTTTTATCTAAAGGGAAACTAAATCAGAATTACGTAATATCTTCCAGTGTTCACTTTATGCTAGCAGCATGGCAGGATACCTTTTGTTTTCTAGGCTTCTAAAAGAACTCACGTACAGTAATTATATGATATCCCTTTGTTCTTTGTAGTCTCTTCCCAAACTCTATTTGTCCCTCATAACTAGTTTGTTCACTTACGTTCCAAAAACATCTTATGTTAATCCCTACCACTTATATTGCCACTCATTCTCTTGAAGCTATGCAAGTATCTAAAAATAAAAATGCACTTGAGTTGTAAGATCTTGTGAGAAATCTTGAAATGCTTTAAAATAGGTAATACTAGAGTCTTACTAGAGAATATATCATATATATGATAATACTTGCATATGTGTAGATTTTAAAAAGATAGCAGTCATCAGGTTTCAAATCCATGCATCACCATATTACAAGCTGTACTTGTTTTTCGCTTGTTTGTTTTTTCTTCATGCTGCTTAAAATTACAAGAACAATAGTTCTGAAAGCTGACCATTCCCCATTTTAAACAAAATAGTAAAGTCATTTCACAAACATTCTGTCTTCTGTGGTTTATACTGTGCACCCCAAAGTTGGGCCTGCAACTAATTACTGTTTGTTTATATAGAAGACAAGGCCTTCCCCTGTAGCAGTAATTTTTTGCAGAATAATCTCCCATGAAAGGCCTATCAAACATGTTCCATTAAAATTCTTTGAACAGCTGTGTTTTCTTCTTCATTCAGGTTTTATGGGGCAATAGAAATTGAGACATACTCTTGTTTAGGTTGGTGTTGGTTTACAACTGTGTTTCATTGTGGGCTAAGAATACTAATATTTTAATATATCTATACTCTAGTACCTGTGGAAAACCTATGGACTATGTGGTTCTCAGGCCCACTCTCCACAATCTGCAGAGGCCTAAGCATCCTGCTCACTTTTCCTTGCCTGTCCAGCTGATCAGACAGACATGGGAACAGGTTGCTATGGTGAAGGATGCAAGTAGAGAAGCTTATAATTATTCAGGGATCCTTATCAAAATATCTGCTTTCCATGTTATTGGTATCAGCAGAGAACAATGACCATCCCTGCAATAAATAAATAAATACATAAATATTGATGTGATGCTGTTGCATTGTTGAATTTTAATTGTAAGTTGTGTGGATGTCTCTTTTGAGACAAATAGGCTGGATATCCACCCAGTGAATAAATGCACATATGACACTTTTTAATAGCATCTTGGGTGCTCAGTAAGAATTATTGCTGAAGTGACCGTGGCTAGAGATGAGAGCTTAAAAGATAAGCCATTTTTCTTCTCCCACTCTGATTTTAATTGGCCATTATCAAGTTCCCCAGATAGAATTCAAAAAGGATTTGCAACCGTGAAATTCGCAAGAGTCTAAAGTTGCCTGAATCTCACAACTGGACTTAATCAGGAGTTTTGTCTGCATTTATTCAAATAGTAATATCTGTGAAGTATATTCTTAAGGATTTGAAATAACATTCATGGAACCTGGGCAAATGATTCCATGCTTGTCCATATTCTTAGGATTCCCAGCATGGTGTCCACCAGGTTTCTGCCCCAAGCTGACTTATTTTTTTTTAATAGATCCTGTTATTTATTTGATTTTAAGGAAGCAGGCATGCTATAAAGCAAAGCATTAATCTTTAACAAGATCTTAATTTGCAAGGTTATTTTTTGGCTCCGTATGGGCTGTATTGTTACAAAACAAAAATGGGGTGGTAGTGATTCCAGCCCATTGCTTTGTTTGGAAATTTGTCACCTGCCCAGAAAAAAAAGACAATTCTAAGACAGTAAAATAAGGGGATAGAGTAAGGGTAGGGCATAATCTTACCACTTTGTCTTCTAGTAGATGGGTGTTTTGTGACCGGTTGTTTTCTACCTTAATAGTTGTTTTAGGAATAGTCAAGCCATGTCTCCTTGAAGCTATTTTATATTAATTCCCGAAGCAGTTTTTCAAAATTCTAAATATGCTTATTGGCCAAAATCCATATCACATACGAGTTTTAATAGTTTTAAAAGGTTAAATGTGAAATATTACAGCTATAGGGCTATTAGAAGTTCCTCAGGTGTGAAATAAGAATATTTAACACCATATCAGGATATCCCAGCCCCCAAGTTGTGTCACATTACAAATGTAAACTGTTTCTTTTCAAACTGGTAATTACATGCTTTGCATATTCTGGGCTAGATGTTAGGCAACCTGTGGTTTCATGGTTTTGTGTAAGACTTCTCCTTATTCCCAACTTGGCTTTTTACATTGTTTATTCCAAGAATACAGTGATTATGTAGTCCTTTCCTCCCAACTTCATTTTTCTGGAATAAAGTTTTCTTGTGTTTTATGCAGATTTCTGGTGATGAATTCTTTGCAGACACAGCAGCAGACATCCTGCTTTATGTTTCTCGGGATCTAAGCGACAACGTAAGGCATATTGCTATTAGTTGATGATAAGATGTTGAGTTGCCAACACCACTTGGAACAGATGCAGCTGGACAATCCAGGCTAATGGGTTATTTGAAACAATATCGTTTTTGGATCCCTCCCAAGTCAATATAGAGTCTCATTCCATTATTTCTCTCAGATCTATTTAAAACTAAGTCCTTTAAATGCTGGAAGTGTCCACAGTCAGATTAAGAACAATGTGAAAGAAAAGCTTCAAATTGTGTAAATGGTGTTGAACACGTGATAAGCTAAAGCATGCATTACGTGCAAAATCTGATACCTCCTTCTTAAAGGCTAATGTGTGTCTGAAACCTCATATAGGGAGGTGGGTGACAAATGGCCAAGAATCCAATCAAAGCTTTATTACTAGTCATTGACCAGAAGTCAAGTGGCCAGGAGAAGGATTACATCTTATCGTTTCAGTCCCATTTCTCAGGCAGAACTCACTGCCTTATATATATGTTTCAGAAATGGGTTGTGCATTAAAGTGTATGCTAATGTTAATTCTTTGGTTTTCAGTCTGGGGGGTTCTACAGTGCAGAGGATGCGGATTCATACCCTACAGTCCAATCAGAGCAGAAGCAAGAGGGTGCATTTTGTGTATGGACAGCTGAAGAGATTCGGCAGCTCCTGCCAGACCCCATTGAAGGGATCCCAGAGAAAAAGATCGTTGCAGATGTCTTCATGCATCACTATGGAATGAAGGAGGATGGCAATGTGAATCCAATGAAGGTGCAGTTGGGGAGGCTTAGTGTGGGCAGGAGAGTTTAGTCCCTTATTATTAGTGACAACACACGTAATATCCAACTGGTGCCTGTGTCGTTGCTTGGTGCAGGATTCTCAGAATAGTGTTGCGCAGAGTGCAGCAGTACTCCCAGGAAATTGCCAAAAATACACACCAGCATGAGAGATTTACAAAATGCAATGTCCATATCTTGTTCTCCAAAGAAATCCAGCCAG